TGGAGATGTATGTACAATTGATTTGGAACATGGAAGGTGGACAAATTTCTCTTGTGCATGGTTGGAATAATATGGATTTCGGTATTGTGTTGTATGAGTGCTTTATCGTACACCGTTAAGAAAAAAAAAACGGGGTGTTACATGTTACTTTTGATTTATTAGTATGGTAATAATAATATTGCAATAATCAAATTGTGTTTTATATAAATGATTTTTATAATTTAGGAAGAACAACATTGTATTATAGTTAAATTTTTTTAATCGAAACAATTATAACGATTTATACCGATTTAAAGTTGTTGTATACAAAAATATTTATAAAATAAACCCAATATTATGGTTATGTGAAATAATTTATATAACATGGTATTATATTTTTATTGATAATCTTATAAAATTTAATTTGATTAGTAAAATTTCATGTGATAATATATACTATATTATAATATATAGCCTCAAAAAATATTATATATATTTATATAGAGGGAAAAAAAGAAAGCTTTTTCAATAGTTGACAGCCATTAAATAATAACCACCATCTCTAGATCGAAACTTCTTTAGATCCTGCTGGCGGAAAAACATGTGGATGATAGATTTAACTAATAATTTTCAGTATCCGATCCAATGCTCATCGCTTACATCACCATCCCGCCCCAATTTTATCCGCCTTTCAGATCAAATTGATTTTGCGTGAGGAAAAAGTCAAGAACACTCCATAAACAAAACTCAGAATCCCACTATTTATACCCAAAACAACTAGAATCAGAACCCACCGAGAAGACGAAACAGAGAAAAATTTTACAGATCTGATCTTAATCCACCATGGCCGCCGTCGAGTTCTTGCCTAGAGAATACGGATATGTCGCGATTGTTTTGGTTTTTTACTGCTTTCTCAATTTCTGGATGGCCTTCCAAGTCGGCAAAGCCCGGAAGAAGTAAAATCTTACTGCCTCAAATCTGATTTGTTCTTTCTTCAAAATATATATCCCCCCATTCAAAATAACCAAAACCCGTTTCTGATTTCACCTCAAATCTGATTTATTCTCGTTCAAAACATTGATCACCCATTTCAAAGTAACCGAAACCCATTTCTGATTTCGCTCTAAAATTGTTGTTTCTTCTGTTCTGTTTCGTTCAACAGGTACAAAGTGCCGTATCCGACTCTCTACGCTTCGGAATCGGAGAACAAGGATGCCAAAGCGTTTAACTGCGTTCAGGTAATTGGGTATTTGATTCTTGTGATGAATTTCCACGGAGGATTAAATTTTTTTTGGTGGGTATATTGCAGAGAGGGCATCAGAATTCGCTGGAGATGATGCCGATGTTCTTCGTGCTGATGGTGTTGGGAGGAATTAGGCATCCTTGCGTATGCGCCGGACTTGGCACCGTGTACGCCATCACCCGCTTCTTTTATTTCAAAGGCTACGCCACAGGCGATCCCATGAAGCGTCTGACTATTGGGTTTGTTTCTGAATTATCTTCTTCCTTTCTCTGATTCATCAATTTGCTCTGGTATGAGATTAGGGTTTTTTTTTTTTTTTTCTTTTTCAAGTAATTGGTGATAATAGAACAATGACAATGGAGTTAACGTGCAGGAAATATGGATTCTTGGCAATTCTGGGGCTTATG